TAATATTAAATATGCTAAATTATTAATATCAGCAATACTAATAAATATAACAGTATATTCACATAGACATATACTTTATATGTATAATATTATAGCTGATATGTTTTGTCGAAGAATTAAACTCCCAAATTACTAAGTCTTTATTTTATTTTTTAACTTTTAGATAGAAAATCCCCGGTACCTAAGACAGAAGCCTATCCCAGTTTCTCTGGTAGGTGAGAATACCATTGGACTTTTCTAAGGACAAGGCTTTTTAAAAAAAAAAAATCAAATAAGCATTAACATTTTTATAGAAAATAATATGTATTCACATTATGGAGTATAATAGTTTTTTAATCCTGTCACTGGGAAGTGAATAAATTATTTTCCCCCACTGTTAATAGTATTTTGGTGTGGGTTGTAGCCATTTTAGAAGTGTACTTTTGGTTTTAGGTTGAACTTGACCTAAAAAAGTACTAAATAAATAACTCTTACTCTTTCTACAGATGACTCCCAAATTCAACTTGAGAAAATCCAGCAGTCTTCATGATGATCATTTTCTCTCTCGTATGCATGAGAAAGAGGTAGGGTTGAGATATTTTTGATGCACCTAATTATTAACACAGTTTTAATAATTTGTATAATAGGAATTTTCAGATTCTAGATAGAATAAAGATGCATATTAGGAAGGAGTTGACTTTGGTACAAATTTAAGTCATGATGCCGGTTAGACTGCATTTGAATATTTTTTAATGCCCATCTCCCATCTTGAGTGTCTCAGCTCTACCTCTAGAGGTATTGCTGACAGACCTATCTCCTGACTTTCAAACTTGATCATCAGCTGGAAATGGTAGCGATTTCTATGTCTTTTTTAGAGAATTTTCTATTTAGCCCATTTTGTAATTAGATTATTTTCCTTCTATAGAATTGTTTGAATTGCTTATAAATTTTAGATATCAGACCATTATCAAGATATTTATCTTGCAAAGATTTTCTCCCATTGCATAGTTTTTCTCTTCACTTTATGGCCTGAGCAGAAGGTTGATTTGTTTCTTTATTTGTTGATTGAGATGGGCCTTACTCTCTGCTGAGATAGGCCTCACTATGTTGCCCTGGTTGGTCACAAACTCTTAGACTCAATCTCTATCCCTTCTAAGCTTCCCAAGTAGCTGGAACCTTAGTGTGAACCACCATGGCTGATTTGCATAAACATTATAGTTGAATATAATTCAACTTGTCTGTTTTAAATTTTGTTGCCTGCACTTTTGGGATCAAATCTAAAAATTCCTTGTTCACCAATACAAGAAGCTTTTCCCTATGTCCTCTTTTAGCATTTTTATAGTTTCAGATCTTCTGTTTAACTGTTTAAAATGTTTTGAGTTGATTTTAGTAGGATTGAGATTAATTCTTCTTCAAATAATTAGTATAATTCAGCAGTGAAGCCATCAGGTTGTGAGGGTTTCTTCATGAGAAATTTTTTGTTAATGATTTGCTCTCCTTGTTATTTGTTCAAATTTTCTGTTTCTTCAAGATTCAGTTTTGGTAGATTGGATGTGCTTAGGAATTTATCCATTTCTTCCAGGCTAGCCTATTGGTGAATTAATTTTTCATGGTAGGCTTTTATGATCTTTGTATTTCTGCAATGTAGTTTCAATGTCTCTTTCATTTCTAATTTTGTTGAGTTTTCTTTTGTTTATCTTTTACAACATTCATGTGTTTTATTGATATTTTCTGTTGTGTTTCTAGTCTGTTTTTTTCCTGATCTTTCTCATTTTCTTTCTTCTACTAATTTTGGGCTTAGTTTTTTTCTTTCTCTAGATCTTTTAAGTTTTAATAGTAAGTAGTTTCCTTGAGATCTTTTGTTTCTTGTTGGTATAAGCATTTAGTGATACAAATTTCCATTTTAGAACTGCTTTTCCTGCATCATGTAAGGCTTGTATTTCTATGCTTGTTTTTGAATTTTAACTTATTTTTTGGCCCAGTGGTTGTTCAGGAGCATGTTGTTTAATTTTCATGTATTTTTTAGTTTTCTGAAATTCCTCCTGTACTGGTTTCTAGTTTCATATTATTGTGGTCAGAAAAGATATTGGTATAAATTTAATCTTCTTAAATTTGTGAGGACTTGCTTTGTGGCCTAACATACATGATCTGTGCTGGAGAATATTTTGTGTTTGAAGAAAATGTCATGTTCTGCTAGTGTTCAATGGAATGTCCTTTATGTATCTTTTAGGTCCATTTGGTCTAAAGTGTAGTTCAAGTGTGATGTTTTCTTAATTATCGTATGTCTGGATAATCTGGCCATTGCTAAAAGTAACATATTAAAGTCCCCTACTATCATTGTATTATAGTTTAGCTCTCCTTCATACCTACTAACATTTTCTTTTTGTTGGTATCAGGGATCGAATTCAGGACCTTGTACTTGCAAGGCAGGCACTGGAACCACTGAGCTACACCCCGGCCCCTAACATTTTCTTTATATTAAGTCCTCCTATGTTGGGTCCTTATGTACCATTTTCAAATGATATATCTTCTTCATAAATTGAGATTATCATCACTATATAATGACTGTCTTTTCATTGTTTTACAGTTTTTATTTAAAGTGTTTATCTCATATAAGTGCCTCTGTTCTTTCTTCATTTCCATTTGTGTAGAATCTTTTTCTAATCCTTCCTGTTAGTCTGTTTATATCTTTATACATAAAGTGAGTTTCTTATAGGCAGCATATACCCATTCAGCCACGGTAGGTTTTGATTGGGGAATTAAATCTATTTAGATTAAAGGTGATTATGAGATAGGTAATAATTTACTACTGCCATTTTGTTTATTATTTTCTGGGTGTTTTATGTATCTTTTGTTCCTTTCCTTCCTCTTGCTGTGTTTCTTTGTGGTTAGGTAATTTTTCTGGTGGTGTACTATGATTACTTCTTACTATTTGTGTATTGTAGGTTTGCTTTGTGGTTACCACTTTATATTCTTAAACATCTCATATTTATAATAAGATAATTAAACTGTTAACAACTGTTATGGTTTGAATATGTGTAGTGTACCCTGAAGAACTATGTGTGAAAGGCTTAGTCCCCAGGTTGGCACTATTGGAAAGTGATGTTGACTCTTTTGAGAGTGAGAGGTAAGTAGGTCAGAGGAGGTATACCCTCACACTCCAAAGTAATTGTGAGTCCCAGCATGTCATCTCCATCTCTGCTTCCTAACTCATGAGCTGAACAGTTTGCTCCGACATGTGTTCCCCACCATTGCTATCTTTTGCTCTTAGCAGAGACCCAAGAACATGAAGCTACCTAGTCTTAGACTGGATCCTAGAGCTGAAAATCATGAAGCCAAATACTACAGAGCTAAATAAACCTTCTTTCTTTAAAAGTTAATTATCTCAAATATTTTGCTATAGTAACTTGAAGTTGAATAATACACCAGCTTAACATTGATCATTCCCACAAACTACACTTTACTCCACTTAACTTCATTTTGTTTTGTGTTATAATTTACAAGTTTTTATATTGTGTATTCTTTAAGAAATTAGTGCAGCTATTATCATTTTTAATAGATTTGTGTTTTAACTTTTTTACTAAAAATATGGATGATTTCATTACTTCCACTGTGGTGTTAGAATATTTTGAATTTGTGTATTTACTTTTACCAGTGAAGTTTATCCTTTCATATGGTTTTGTGTTCCTCATTAATGTCTTTTTCTTTCAGCTTGATGAATTTCCTTTAACATTTCTTGTAGGATTGATTTAGGGGTGCTGAATTTCCTTAGCTATTATCTGTCTGAGAAAATCCTTCTCTTTCTTTTTTTCATGTTTGTGCAGCTTACCTTTTATTTTTTATTTTTTCAGATTTTGTACTTTTTCATTTTTTGAAAAAATACAACAAAATTTCATAAAAAATAAAAATAGATTAACAATAGTTAATACATTTAGGACATCTTTGTTGTGTATAGTATTCTTGGTGGCTAGCCCTTTTCTTTCAGTACTTTGAATGTGTCACCCTACTCCTTCCTGATCTGTAATGTTTTTGATATGAAAACAAAGGCTGGTCTCATGGGGACTGGTTGGTGTGTGGTTTCCCTGCTTTCTCTTAAGTGTGTGCGCGTGCATGTGTATGTGTGTGTGTGTGTGTATGTGTGTGTGTGTGTGTGTGTAGTTCTGACTGGCCTTGAACTCATCATGTAGCTCAGGCTGGCCTCAAATTTGTGGCAATTCTCCTACTTCAGCCTTGCCATTGCTGGGATTACAGGCATGTGTCACCAAACCCAGCTCTTTTACTGCTTTTCTTTATCTTTGATATTTGACATTTGTATTGTAATGTGAGTCATTTCTCTTTTGATTTTTGATAATTCATGTTTTGGTGTGGTCTTCTTTAGATTGAATCTGATTGGAAACTTACATTTCATTCATATATATTCATTCATATACAATATATATTCA